ATAAGTAAAAATTAGAGAAATGCAAAATATTTTTATTTTAGTTATGTAACTATTCATTCATTTAGTTTAAATTTTAAAATTTATATATCTTATTTAAATTTATAAATTTTTTTTTATTAAATGATCTTACTCTTGTGTACCAATATTTAATAAATTCCAGGGCTGTGGAATCGCGTAAAAATCTACCGACTCTGACTTTTCCTTACAATCCGACTCCGACCAGGGGCGGACTTGTTAACAAAAGAGATCCGGAAATTTCGATGTCATCACGTGACCTCGGAATAAAAGATTCAACAAATAGAGTTCTAATAAAGATAGAGCATAGAAACTTTTTATTACAAAGCTAAAAGACTCCTCTAAGTAATGACACAGTCAATATATAAATATGTTTCAATAATTTTTACTTTTCCGGCTGTTATATTTAACAGAGAAAAAGTGTAGTGGGTCAAAAAATGACCCCTCCCAAATTTTTACATTTTTGGATTCAGGACATCTTGAAATTTCAAGATATGCAAAAGATTTGAGGTTTTTTTCTATATGTGTGGATGTTAAACTGTATGTGGGGGGCATGGTTTTGTTCACCCTGTTTGAGGCCTAATAAAATCTGTGGTCAGAATCGGAGTTGGATGGTTTAACACAGGAGTTAGTTATTAAGCGTCAAAGGGATTGAACTAAATTGTGTCCCCATATACATTTGTGAAATCCGCGATTTTTACGCCGATGTCGGAAAAATCTTTGTAAATAACTCTGATGGACAAACCCACTCTTGGTGAGAAGTATATCGGAGGTCACCGATTGTTTTCACATTATGGTGGGAAAGTTGACAGTTAGTTGATTGGAATGCACCGTAAGTGTCAACAGAAGTCGATCACGTGACTCATTTCCCACGAATAACGTATAAAAGCTCGAGTCCCCGAAAGCTCCGGGTGATCCTTCGGAAGTTATACTTGGTAGATGTGCCATATTTGTCTCCATACTCCGGACCGAAAGGACATACGACCAACCACAGCCATTTGAACTTCCATCGCCATTAACAAACATATTCAACGAACGCATATTAGACATATCCGCAGAGAGGTATTTGTACTTTTTAGAGCTTTGTGAACTCTCTCTCAGACTAGCAGGTAAAGCTATTAGAGCGTCCCTTTTGTACAGTGAACTTATTTAATCGCATTTAACCTATGTATCCTAGCTTAGTTATATAAATAAATGCTTGTTTTGTTTTTAAACCTGTCTCCTGTCTCTGAAGGACACCTGCCGACTTACCGACGCACTCCCCACTCAAATTATTGCCCTCCTAGCCATCCGACAAGCTGAGAACGGGTTTTACCAACCTGGTGCAGAGTAAGTGGTCATTTGGGATGAGCCCAGTGGCCCACTGCTAATCTTACACATTCTAACATCTTAGGCAAGAACATCATAATTAACGGGTTTTACTATACTATTATAAAATGGCAAAAAAAGCTTACTTTGAGAGTAGAGACGAGTTTTATTTTATTTTTTTAAATTTCGAATGCTAATAACGAGTGAAATATTCATTAAGAGAGATGACACATGACCACTTTTATGTCTTCTCCCTGTCGACCTTTAATTAAGAACCAAAATTTAATAGTGTTAATGCCCCTTTATATGCAAGCTACAGTGCCACATTTCGTTTCTTAAACTTTACCCATTCTGAGATATGGTTTAATATCCCAGAACAGAAAATAAAGAAATTAAACAAATTAGATGCCAATACACACGCGTGAGCGAATTTTTCCACTTTAATTGACTTTTTTTCAGGGTGTCGGGAGGTCTCCAAACGTGTAGATTTGCAAAAAAAGCTTGGAAGGTCAAATTTGGCACAATTCCAATACTTTTCCGTTTTATATACATAACAAGTTGGTAAGTAAGAAGGAGTCGGAGTTGGCGGATTTTTTGACGACTCCGACTCCTCAGCCCTGATAAATTCTTATTTGAAGTTTTTGGAAGGAAAAAAAGAAAGCTCCAATTAACTATATACGAAATTTCCAGTCTCGACCGGAAATCAAATTACTTCAGTTCAAAAACTTTCTCAAGAATGGGGTTAGATAGTTATTGGCATGACTCTGTTGTGAACAGGAAAAGTATGATTTACAGGGGAAAGACACTACTAAAGTTGAGAGCCTTTATTTTAAATTAAATTGAAAATTGCAGTCTGGTGTTGTGATAATATCACAATAAATAATTGCTCATTACTTTTTAGATTTAAAAAGTTGGAGTGTATTTGTTTGTTATGACTTTTTCAACTTAAGAAAACATTAAAAATATTTAGTATGAATGAGTTGACTATAAGCATTCTTATTTGATTATTTAGGAATAATCTTGTAAGAATTTCAATTATTCAGGATGGGCATAGTCTAATTTGTATTATAAAATTTTATTAAATGACAACAACTACAGATACAATTAACAGATTTTAACAGAATGTAAGGCTTTGTACATTTCATCAATATGTCATTCATACCCAGAGTACATTTCATCAATATGCCATTTCTCCAACATCTCTGCATAGACTGAAGCAATAGTATCTGTTATTCTCCTTAATATCTCAGCATCAGGTATACATATTGAATAGATCATTCTTGACATAAGCCCAAAGGAAAAAATTCATCTGATGATCAAGATATTGGACTTTCATAGTGTTGGCTGTTGTTGATTTTTCAAAGATGGAAATGAGTGGTGGAAAAATGAAAAGAAAACAACCAGAAAAGGAAAATAAAACTTTAAAATGTTTATTTTTTGGTGCAAACCAAACACTGTTAACTAACAAATTTTGAAAAATAAAATGTAATGAAAATGAAGAGAATATATGCCTACCCTATATATTGTATTTAAATCATTAGGTAATTTTTATTAAAACTTTGTAAAAATTAAACAATAAAAGAGATTAGATTAATAATGATGAAATAAAAGTTATAAGAAATAATAAAAATACAGTATAAATAATTAAAAGTTGTATTGTTGACAGTATAAACAGAAAAAAAAATTATGGAATTACAGTAGAGCATCAATTATACAACTCAATTGGGGACTCAGGTTGGTCGGATAACCGAAAAGAATGAAAAAAAATGCATTATTAGTATATCGCTATTAACCAACTTTGCGTTGAATTTTCATCGATGTTAAGCCTAACAAATTTTTTTTTAAAATAATAATCGTTGCTATTGTATTGTTAAAAATTATTTTAAAATTATTTTATTGCTCACAAAACAAACCACCACTCATAATTAGAAAATTAAGTCTTGTTTAAATACGGGCCTCCCTTCAATGGTCGATCCGGTGCTGCCAGCTAAAACATGCAAAAATTTAACAAAAATAATAAAGTAGCTAAGATATAGCCATATATTGTAGTGCCACATCACTAGCAGACATTTGAAATTTGCCGACTAGAACGGTCGGTTAACCAATGTGACGGTTAATTGGGGGTTGGATAATTGATGCTCTACTGTATTTAAGAATGTTAGAAATATGAAATTATATATCAATATTTTTCACATTAAATAATTTCATTTTTAAAGTAAATATAAATCTTAAATTTAGCAGTCTGAACCAAATATTTTTTTAACTCCATGTCTATTTTAAGTCTTTTTCATTAAAAAGATTAAATAAACTGTGTTTGTTATTTATTAAACAGCTTTTAATATATTTTTAAAATAAAATTTAAAAATCAAAATGTTTCATATTTTTATATGAATAGGTCAAAAATAATTTATAAATTGAATGTATTGGCATAATAATCAGTGTGTTACTTTTCAGAATGTTGAACAACTGATTAGTTTAAAGGAAGTATAAAGTATATTAATTTGTGAGTTTATAAGGCTTGTGGGTTATGATTGTTAAATCTGGATGTAAACTTTAATGTATTCAATAAGTATAATAATTTGAAAAATTAAAATGTACTTAAAATATAACCTTTTAAAAATTAATACATTAAATAAATTATATATGTTTTTATATACCATTTATTTTCTGTTACTTTTTAGTTTTTACTGTATTTTTTACCATATTTGTTGCNATCATGCTGACTGTATTTTAAAAATTTTACTTTTAATATATGATATGATTTAGTTCAGAATAACAAGATTTTTGTGATAATGTTAAATTTTTTTTTTTTAGCTTTTAGATCCATTTGGTTGAATTTTTGATAGGGAAAATAGAATCCATTGTTTATAACAAAGGAAAACAATTTTCCCCCTTTTGTTATAAACAATGATTTATATATATAAAGACATACATACATAAATTAATTTTTGTATCATACACATTTTTTGTATCAAATTAAAAACAAAAAAATATTTTGCATTTTTCTTTTGTTTATTCATCAGTTCTTTTAATTGTTTATAGAGAATATTAAAAAATAAATGTAAGTTCTGCATATCTAACATATTTTTATTAAATATTTTCAGGATTACGAACAATAGGAGTTATAACAAAGTTAGATTTGATGGATGATGGTACCGATGCTCGTGACATACTTGAAAATAAAATATTTCCTCTTAGAAGAGGTAATTTCATAATTTATGTAAAAAATTCAAAAAAATAGTGAAAATAATTAAATTTTGATGTTCAGTTGAACTAAGCTATGAAATATTAAACAATAGAAAATAATTTGTTAATTGATTATTTTAAGGATATGTTGGTGTAGTTAATCGAAGTCAGAAAGATATTGAAGGAAGGAAAGATATTAGGGCAGCTTTAGAATCTGAAAGAAGATTTTTCCTTAGTCATCCTGCCTATAGGTTAAAACATTTCAAAGTTATATCCCAATTACATTAAAGTTATTGTAAAATGTTTATTAATGACTAATGCAATAGTTCCATTATTGATTGCAATAAATAATAAATTTATGTATAAATATTTTAGTCATTGTAGTGAATAATGTATAAAGTATTTATATATAAATGAAAAATTTATTTTATCTTGATTTATTTACAAAATATAAAATTATACATTAATTTAGTTTTACAAATTCTTTGCCTTGACCATACAAAAATTTGTTATAAATATTCAAAACTATCACAATTGATGAAATTGATATAATTAACTTTAATAATCAATACATTTAAACAATATAATTTTTATGTGAATCATTATTTTTACAATTAACACACGCATTTGCTAATTGAAAAAAAGCTGTTACATTTGTAAACAGTAATCATTTTATTTTTATTCTATAATAATAAAATAGATTTATTTCTTAAGAAAAAGTATATGACAGTATAATTCAACAGCTTTTAGAAATTTATAGTAGATATAGTTTTATTATTATTAAAACATTATTATTGCTTAATGCAAAGCTTTAAAGTTTTCTTTATTCTGTTAGACTATGATAAATAATTTTGAGATATATCATAAGGACTAAAAATATTTAAGTACAATACATTACCACTCAATAAAATTGTGATCGTTAGGTTATCTATTTTAAATTTAAAATTTTATTCATTTATTGTAATGTTTTTATAATTTTTATGTAATTGTAAAAAGTCAAAATTGATAGATGTTTTGATTTACTAATTCAATAGACATTCAAAACTTTGAATTTGCATACAAGAAATATTTCAAATAAAATTAGACTGATATAACTAAATNTTTTTAGCTTTTAGATCCATTTGGTTGAATTTTTGATAGGGAAAATAGAATCCATTGTTTATAACAAAGGAAAACAATTTTCCCCCTTTTGTTATAAACAATGATTTATATATATAAAGACATACATACATAAATTAATTTTTGTATCATACACATTTTTTGTATCAAATTAAAAACAAAAAAATATTTTGCATTTTTCTTTTGTTTATTCATCAGTTCTTTTAATTGTTTATAGAGAATATTAAAAAATAAATGTAAGTTCTGCATATCTAACATATTTTTATTAAATATTTTCAGGATTACGAACAATAGGAGTTATAACAAAGTTAGATTTGATGGATGATGGTACCGATGCTCGTGACATACTTGAAAATAAAATATTTCCTCTTAGAAGAGGTAATTTCATAATTTATGTAAAAAATTCAAAAAAATAGTGAAAATAATTAAATTTTGATGTTCAGTTGAACTAAGCTATGAAATATTAAACAATAGAAAATAATTTGTTAATTGATTATTTTAAGGATATGTTGGTGTAGTTAATCGAAGTCAGAAAGATATTGAAGGAAGGAAAGATATTAGGGCAGCTTTAGAATCTGAAAGAAGATTTTTCCTTAGTCATCCTGCCTATAGGTTAAAACATTTCAAAGTTATATCCCAATTACATTAAAGTTATTGTAAAATGTTTATTAATGACTAATGCAATAGTTCCATTATTGATTGCAATAAATAATAAATTTATGTATAAATATTTTAGTCATTGTAGTGAATAATGTATAAAGTATTTATATATAAATGAAAAATTTATTTTATCTTGATTTATTTACAAAATATAAAATTATACATTAATTTAGTTTTACAAATTCTTTGCCTTGACCATACAAAAATTTGTTATAAATATTCAAAACTATCACAATTGATGAAATTGATATAATTAACTTTAATAATCAATACATTTAAACAATATAATTTTTATGTGAATCATTATTTTTACAATTAACACACGCATTTGCTAATTGAAAAAAAGCTGTTACATTTGTAAACAGTAATCATTTTATTTTTATTCTATAATAATAAAATAGATTTATTTCTTAAGAAAAAGTATATGACAGTATAATTCAACAGCTTTTAGAAATTTATAGTAGATATAGTTTTATTATTATTAAAACATTATTATTGCTTAATGCAAAGCTTTAAAGTTTTCTTTATTCTGTTAGACTATGATAAATAATTTTGAGATATATCATAAGGACTAAAAATATTTAAGTACAATACATTACCACTCAATAAAATTGTGATCGTTAGGTTATCTATTTTAAATTTAAAATTTTATTCATTTATTGTAATGTTTTTATAATTTTTATGTAATTGTAAAAAGTCAAAATTGATAGATGTTTTGATTTACTAATTCAATAGACATTCAAAACTTTGAATTTGCATACAAGAAATATTTCAAATAAAATTAGACTGATATAACTAAATGTTTTCAGTTGCACTTTGCTTTTTCTCCACCGTTTCACAATACCACTTCAGCCACTGTGGTATTGTGAAACTTAGTGTAATGCTTTTATATGAATACATAAACATAAAAATACTTACATTTAATGACAAAGAAAGAAGAAATAAAATTTACAATATAACACTTTATAGTAATTCATATTAAAAGATCATAGCATTAATGGTGTTTTGAATTTTGACATTTGCTTGTACAATACAGTCTGGAATTAATCTGATTACAAAAATTATTTCTTTTGAACACTATAATAATAATAATAAATTTAGTTTTGTTTTGGTTGCTGTGCCTTGACTCTGGTCTGGCATAGTACACAGCCACTGGTGTCANTGTTTTGAATTTTGACATTTGCTTGTACAATACAGTCTGGAATTAATCTGATTACAAAAATTATTTCTTTTGAACACTATAATAATAATAATAAATTTAGTTTTGTTTTGGTTGCTGTGCCTTGACTCTGGTCTGGCATAGTACACAGCCACTGGTGTCAACCAAGTATAACCCACTAAACCCAACATAATAATAATATCAACAGTAACAACAACTTTCAGATGACACTTGTATAAAATGCCGCATTATGCATGAAATTATGTGATATATCACATTAGGAATGTAATCCCTTTATAACATGCAACTCTATTAAAAACATAAAAACACATAAATAGATAATAAAAATATCTTCTTTACTTGCCATGTCCAATCCAGGAACAACAAACTTTACAAAGAAATATATTTTTAATTGTGAAGGGATTGTCACCTGTAGACATTTTAGACTGTTTTACATAATTTGGCAGAGACATAGTCTCTAAAGAAAGGTCATCTCTGCTATGGAGAATAGTTTGTTCCTGGTGATTGGACATGGTGAGTAAAGAAGATATTTTTATTATCTGTTTACGTGTTTTTACCTTTTTAATACTGTATTTCCGCCAGCCCTTTTTACAAATGCAACTCTATTGTTTAACTTCTAGATAATCAATTTCATACATGTTTTAGGAATGCATTATGTCTGAAAATCAGATTGTTTGTAATAAAATAAGAAACTTTTGTAAGTTTTGTTATATGATAAGTTTTTTTAAATATTAATGCATTGGTCAGAATTTCATTCTTATTTGAAAATCAGACTGCAATTTTGTGTGAATCTTTGTCCATTCATTTATTAGTTGTTATCATCTCAATATGTTTACACATATTTGTTTTTCCTTACATTTGAAATAAAATTCAAACACTTATTTAAAATGTTCTAAAATAATATAAAAGATTTTAATGACTGCCTATTTACAGAAAATTCACTCTTCTAAACACTGTTGCAGGCTGTTGTAGAAATCAGTTATTAACTTCCACTTTTTTACTTTGTTTCAGTTAGTTGTTTTTTCAGTTAGAATTTACCAAGTAAAATTTATTTTATATTGTAAAAACAAAGTGTCAGTGTTAATTACAATATAATAATAATAAACTTCTTCAAGGTTTTAAGAATAATAATCTTTGACAGAAACAAACTACTACAGTAAAATTTAATATTTAGGCTTCTCTAATAGCCAATAACATAAAGTACACAGAAATTAATCAAGTTTCTGTAAATAAGAAGTGATTGTGTAAATAACTAAATGACACCAGTAATATCCAACAAATAATATACTTTACTAAATAAAAACAAAAAACTTTGATGAATTTTTTGTTTTCATTTAATAAAGTGTATTACTTACTGTTGTTGTTTTATTATTCGTACTTAGTTAAATCCAATTTAAAGTATTTAACCTTAAAGCATTTAATACATTTTTTTTGTAACATGTAATTTTAAAAATTTTTTAAGAATAATAGACAATTGATGATTGTTTTAAAAGCATTTATACATATTTTCAGTTTTTAAATTCATGTTATGTACCCATCTAAAATTATGTACCCATCTAAAGGAAATAGATATTGAACTACAGGGTGATTCAAAAGTCACAGAAATTTTAAAAAATTAGTAACTCACAAACTATTTACAGTAAGATGGTGCAGTTTTCACAGAAATGCTTAGAAAGAAGAGGGATTTTTTTTAGGTGTAATAAAAATTTTAGTACTAAAATAGTTACATTTCTTGCCATAGATGGCCCTGTAGCATTTGTAAATTTGTTAAAATAAGAATAAAAAAATAAAAATATTCTTAGTGTAAGCTCTAGTAACAACTACACAAATTATGTAATCTTATCAAGTGCCATCTATGGCAAGAAATGTAACTATTTTGGTACTAAAAATTTTATTGAAAAAAAGTCCCACTTCTTTATAAGTATTTCTGTGAAAACCACACATCTTATTGTAAATAGTTTGTGAGTTATTAATTTTTAAAAATTTCTGTGATTTTTGAATCACCCTGTATTAACACAGTCAGAAAAGCTTTTATAAATATTATGTACTTTGCACATGGATAGGACTTCATGATATATGATTTTTTTGTGATAGTTGCAATTTCTAAAGTAATATGTTTATAATCTTGGGATAAATAAATATGTATTTAATTCAGAAAGAGAGTATTTGGAAAGTCAGCAAATGTGTATTTTTCAAATAAGTTACTACTATTTTTTTTTAATCAAGTAGGCAGGTTTGTTACAAGAAAGTCTTCAAATATATTAATTTGGTTGCTACTTTTCTTGTTTATATTTAACAAAATTTATAAATTTTGAGCAATAATTTTCAAATTCTAAGATATATTTGAACAATAAACATTTAGTTAAATTTAAATATTAATAGATCTTCAAAAATTTAGATAAAATTGCTGCCAAGGTTTTGAAGTTAAGTTTAAATTAGACAATTAAGTTGATCTGCTAAAATGAAATTTTGTTCATTTTTTTTTATTTTAAACAAAAATTTTGATTATTTTAAGTACAGTAGAATCTGTTTGTGATAATATTAGACAACTTATAACAATAAATTATCAGAATTAGCATGTTCCAAAACATCTAAGGTATACAGGTATATCTATAATAAGGTATAAGGTATATCTAAAATATTTCAATGGTCCCCTCAGACCATTGAAATATTTTCTTTATATTAAAATTGCATTCTGTTTAAATACAGTCAAAATGCAAGGATAAAAGAGATTTCTTAATAAAAAAAAATTGCTTACAATTTGAAGTAAGAAAGTTTTTAAAAATACAATTTGTCTGTTAGTATTTATATGGAATCAAATTTCATATTTTCTGAATGTAAGTTATGTTAAATTAGAATAAAAGTTAATCTGTAATAAAAATTTATCAAAAAATATCTTGAATGAACAACTAAAATAACACTATAATAATACTGATTAGTTAGAATCCTGCCTCTTTAATTGTTATTTCTGCTTGAAGCCATTATTTTCTGGTAAAAGAAGTTAATTTTTGTGTGTCGTTTCTTTAATCAAGATTTTTTCATAAAATCCAGTACTCTGACACAGCATTCCAGCAGGCTGTCAGGCACATCTTTTTGTTTAATTCCCTTTTGCATGTTATCTAATATTTTATTATTTTTTTTCCAAAGAAAACTACTTTCATTTTTTGGTTTTTTTTTCCATTTTTTCTCATAAACTTAGAAAGAAACTGTAGAGTAATAACATCAAAACGAAACCAAAACTAAAATTAGTGTTGCCAGTTGAACTAGACTTTAAAATTAATGTTGCTAGGCTGTTTGATGTAATATTTGTCATTTACTAAGTAATGAATGATTTATGCATTTATAGATTTTGTTATAATGAAACTATTCTTTTGTAATGGACAGAATTTTTATTATGTTAAACTGAAATTTTCATTATAATGGTATTTGTTAAACTGAAACATTTTTGCACTCAGCTGAATAGGAAATTGATGGGAGATTGTTATACTGAAAATTTTGTTAAACTGGCATTCATTATACTTACATTTCACTGTATTTATAAAACTTGACATATTGTAAGCAACCTTTTAGATATAGTGATTATTTTCTTAAGGTAATTTTAGTAATTTTAAGTTGTCTTTTTGCTCTATTAGCCTCATCATTTGGCTGACATTGTGAAGTTATCAGTTTTAAACATTAAACATTATTTTAATCATTAGTTGCTCATAATATAGTAGTTTAAATTGCTTGCACTTCTTCTTTAAATTATACACTGGATATTAAAGATGATACTACAAAACAAAAAAACATAATAATAATGTTTGTAACAAATATATTTGAAAACTTGTTCATGTTTGTTTTTTAAATATTTATTTCTTTATTTTTATGTGAAGGAACAGTGAGTTTATATTATTTTATTATTATTTATATATACATTATAAATATACAAGGGCTGTTTTGTTTTCTTCCTTCAATGGTCCATAAAACAAAGACAAATATAAATAACAAAATGAATTTATTACCAAAAGTTAGGTTATTTTTCAACATAGACAAATGCCTCAATCTTTATGGTGATTATGTGAAAAAGTAACCATGTTTGTACCTAACTTTTGGTAATAAATTTATTTTGTTATTTACATTTGTCTTTGTTTTATGGACCATTGAAGGAAGAAAAAGAAACAGCCATCGTGTATATATATAGAAAGATAATGAAGTATACATGAAAAAAACTGATTTATATTTTTTAATATGTTATAATTTATTTTGTAGACATATGGCAGATAGAATGGGAACACCATATCTTCAGAGGTTATTAAATCAACAACTAACTAATCATATTCGTGACACATTACCATCATTACGTGATAAATTGCAAAAACAAATGCTATCAATGGAAAAAGAAGTAAATGAATACAAAAATATTCATCCAGATGATCCAGCTCATAAAACAAAAGCTATGATGCAGTAAGTTGATAAATATTTAGCAAAAAGCAATTGTGAAAAAATGAATTTCTTTTTAAAAATGCTATAGACTTTAATATAAATAAAATTTATAATCTAATTTTGTAAATCAGATGTAATAAATTTATTTTTTGCAAGTTTAATATTGTTGAATTCACTTGTTTTGTACAGTTATTTAATTTATACAAAAACTCTCATCTCTATATAGTTTTGTAATTCAAATGTATTGGATCTACCAGAAAGTTCTGTCTGTTTTTGAATTAAAAGAAAATAATGCATTTTCAATACATTTATTAATATTTACTGAATGGTATAATTTCTATTGTTACTATTGACCTCTTACCAATGTGATGGTAAATTACCATTTCTTTAGAATGTTTCATCTTTGGAGGCAAAAAACTTAAGCAGAGCTTGGCTGACATCTGTTTCAATTATGAAGTTTTTTCCTTCAAAAAATTTTGCAGAGAGAAAGAAACAGATGATAATCAGATGGTGCATATGTCTGGAGAGTATGGTGGATGTGACAGAATTTCCCAGCCTAGCTCTGTGATTTTCTGTGAGAGTAGCCAAGGATATAAGTAAATTACTTATATCACTTACTGGCGCACGATCGTGTGATCGGCTCTCTAAACTTTTTATAGGAAGGCGCTGTATCAAAATTGATCTGAATGGCGAAGTTCAGATGCTCGTCAGGTTCCCGACACCAGTTAATCAATCTTATTATACGCGGATTAACACGCGTATGAGATCTGATTCGGAATCAATTGAAGAGACATTTAGGTATATTTAACAAAAGTAAATTTAATAATTCTAAAACAAACGAATACAAATAATCGATGAACAACAATTAAGCGACAAGCTATAGGCTAAGACTTATTCTATGCTAATGCGCGATCGAGAGAGAGAGCTCACAAAATCTTTTCAAAACATACGACCTGTTTAGTTGTCGTCGTCTTCTTCCCTGTAGGTAAGGGACACCTTGTAGATAAAGTTCATATTACTTTCGTACGGGAGATCAATACGTGCACAAAATATAAAAGTATCACTTCTACGTATAGACTCGGGACTTAGTCTATGGGACTCCGTTAAGGGCATTGGTCATCAGGAGGAAAACTGCGTGGAGTTTTGACGCTTCGGATCTGTCGAAGAACTCCCCGAATTCGGACTAATTTCCCCTTATATCTCCTGAATTTCGACCAATCATCGGCCAGTAACTCTTTCGTGAGAACGGACGAAAGGGGGATGCATGAGGGGTAACCATTTCCCATCTGAGTGAGATTTTTAACCAGATAAGGGAAAGTCAGAGGATGTTCTCTTCTGTGAAAGGAAGTAACATCTGTTATCTGGTTTTTTCCCCGTTAAAACAGTATTTTTTCACAAAAATGAAGTAATATTTTGTGTTGATATTTTACCATTATTAATAAAAATTCATAAATTAGACCCAGGGCCTTTCGGGTCTCACATTTCTGACAAGTTGCTGAAACATCATGTGGCTTTGCATTGTGATGTAGTATGATTTGCTTCCAATTGATCAGCACTGGTCACTTTCCTTGAGTGCTTTGGTCAAATCATTCATGGCCCACCAGTGGCCAAGTGGTCTTCATACCCTGAACACTGGAAGTTTGGTCATGGGTTCATGCTTCATTCGGACAGGCTGGCCATGTGGTGTTTTCTGGGTTTTCTCCACATCTGTAATGCCTAAATAGGGGCCAGTTTCCCTTAAAAAGACCTCCTGGAAGGCATCCCCTAGGCAGATAGCCCAAGTGTTGCATTACCATAACTTAACGAACAAACAAATCATCCATTTTTCGACAATATATTTCTAAATTGAGCCTTTCTTTGAATTTGAGAAGCTCAGTGTATTGGTCCTTTGACATCCCATCATATAAACAGCACTCTCTTATTGAGGCTCAAGCTCTGTTTCAAGGGAGGAGGAAGGTTGTCTAGATCCACAGTATGCTCTTTTTCTCACAATGTTCTCATATGTAATTCACTTTTTATCACCAGTTATCATCTGGTTTAAGAATGGTTCATTTTTGTTCCAAGCAAGCAGAGATGTGCAAATAATGACTCAATTATGTAAATGTTTTCACTTAACTCATGAGGAACATTTATACACTAATCCAAGTTTCTGAATATGGTCTGAAATGATTTGTTGTGTTGTGTTGAGCTTTTTCGCAATCTTCAATGTTGTCAAAAGAGGATCTTGTTGTATGATGGTCCTAACAATATTGTCATCAATCAGAGATGGTCTTCTAGAGCATGGCTTGTTGTTAAGGTCAAAACTGCCTGCTTCAAATTTTTTGAGCCATCTCATGCACATTCTGTCAGAAACTGTATCTTCACCAAAAATGTTCACCAAATTTCTACATGCTTCTGTAGCATTTTTACCTTGTTGGAATTCATACAGAATGCAATGCCATAAATGAACTTTATCAATAGACATGTTTAAACAAAGAATCTGACTTAATACTGAGATGATAAAACCATTGTTTCAGTAAATTTAAAACTACACATATATATAAATACAATGGTGAAAAGAGGCAGCCATGAATGTTTCAAATGGGCACGTTCATATGTATTGAAACTTGATATGTCAAAGATGGACAGAACTTTCCAGTAGGCCTAAATATATGTAATAAATATAATTCAAATATATATAATGGCACTTTGTATGAGATTCTGTTAGATAAAACAATTTTCCTGTCTGTTTCAATAAATTGTCCTTTGATGATGGTATACAATTTCAATGTTATAAAAGCTATTTGATAAGTTGTTTAGATGATATGAATGAAATAGTTTTAACCATACAATCAGAGAAGTTAAAAGTTATTAATTTGAGCATTCACTGTATTTTGTAAAAATTTAAATTATTTGCTTAAATTATTTATGAGTTTAACTTTTGCATTTCCTCAGTTGAGTCTGCATAAGTCGTCATAGATATAACTAGACACCATCGGTTAAGTAGTCAGTCTTCTGTGGTCCCGGCTGACTTAGGCATTAATGTTAAAAACTGGTTTACTCGACACTGTTTAACTCGTCACTGTTTACTCGTCACCACTGGATAAATTGACATACTTTTTCTGTCCCAAACTTGTTTAGACGTCGGATAAGTCGACTCCCCTCCTGAAAAAAAATGAATTCACACCACATAGCTTAACATCACAGCAGAATCTGATTTTGCATTTTCTCACCTTTCATTCATGCATTATTTGCAGCAAGTGTTTCACATTTCTGTTAGAAATGAGTATCCAAAACCTAACAATGCTTATGCTGAAAGAAAAATATGAACTTGTATCTGAATTTGAATGTAATAAAACTTTGCAAGCCAAATTTGCAAACCAAGAAAACCTTCTAAGAATAATATCAATGGGAATTATGAAGAAAAAAAAGGAAATTGAGAAACCTTTTTCTTGGTCTTGGTTGCAGCTGTCTCGAAAACGCCAGAGAAAGTTGCCGTACAAAGACATCAAAGATGCTCTGGTACATTGGCTAAAGCAAATCCGTTCATGAAATCTTCCTGTTTTAGGGCCGATACTGAAACAAATAGTGATGGAAATCACTGAAATACTTGGGAGTAGAAACCAACTTTAGTGCCAGTGATGGATGGTCAGAGATACATTGCATGTACTGTATAAAGCACTACTGTATTTTCCTAATTGTAGTTTTGTGGTTTTTTTCAACTTAGTTTTAGTCGTCGTATCGGATAACTTGACACATTTCCACTTCCCCTTGGGATGTTGACTTATGTGGACTTGACTGTATGTCTTTTTTGGACAGGTGATAAAATTTGCTGTCATTATACTGTTTATTTTTGAAAAACAAAATCATTTTCTATAATAACATTTATGAGGCTTTTAATAAAGAACATTCTTGAATGTTATTCAAAAATGTTTCTTATTAACAGCTAATTTTTGAAACAAACTATAATTCTTTGTCATTATGTATTTTAATAATAAAAATAATGTTCCATTTTGCATAAAAATTTGTTTTCTGAAATGATCAGTTCATTCAAAATAAGTCATATCAGTTCATTTGTGGTTTTTGAAATGACCAGTTCATTTATTAATAATAATCTTTGTAATAAAGTGCTTTGAAATTAAGAGCAGTTTACTTTCATAGTATTTTATTATATATCAGGAGGCTTTATTTCTGATCAGTTTTCATCCAGTCAAATCCTAACATTTCACATTTTTTCACAACACTCTCCTATCTGTGTTGCAATTTATAATACTTTTTACACAATATTAGTTATATATAAATTAATTAAATAATTACAAATAATAATTTTAAAATTTAATGAGAAATAGTGAATGGTAAGACAAAATTAAAATAATGTGAAGTAAATTAATGAAAAAAATTAAAAATAGAAAGTGGTAAATTCATTATGAAGTTCAATGTGTTGACATTGAACTTTGGATCTATTGCAGGGTATGAAATATTTGACTTTGAGATTTTAGATTTTTTTAGTAATATACTCAAGATTTTCTTACCTGCACTATTTTAATTTTTTTTGTAAGAAGCCTGTTTGTACACAAACAGTTTTGGTGAGTGAATCAGTGAGACCAATGTAGCTTATATTAAATATAATTTGTTATAATATTTCTTATAAGATAAATTTAGTTTATGAAATTTAAGCTTTAACATTAAATTTTAACAGTTAACAGATTCAAGAAAAGTAGATTTTAGTTGGTTGACTTTTACATGACCTAACAAATTTATGAAATTATTAAAAAGACTGAATTATTAATATAAAATAACTAATCTAACAATGATATGTAATAAATTAGAAAAATCTTAAACTTATTTATAGCAATTAATTTTTTTTAGAATTTTTCAACAAATGCAAACTGACTTTGAAAGAAATATAGAAGGTTCTGGTTCTGCAGCTATAAATACCAGTGAACTTTCTGGTGGAGCTAGAATAAATCGTATTTTCCATGAAAGATTTCCATTTGAAATAGTCAAAGTAAGCTTTGCTTATTATTATTATGTTACTGATGAATTGTGTCCTATTAAGTTGATTCTGATATCTTCTACTATATTAGATCGAGCATGAGGCATAGTTATCGAAGAAACTATTGTATGTTATTAGTGTTAGTTACCATAAGTACCTTTATCCATCTTTGATGGATAAAGGTACTTATGGTAACTAACTAAATTTCATACCATTGTATACTTATATTATATCAAAGACACTTATGGTAACTAACTAAAGGTCTGTGGACCTTTAGTAACTAAATACTCAAACTTACTCATGAAATGATTCTTTTGATGTGTGTATTTTAATGTTTTGGTGTTTGCAGTGTATGTTTATGATATATGTGATTTTGTTTTGTTTGTAAATAAATGTGATATCTGATCTGTTGTAATAGATGTTTTTTCCTGTGATTATGGCTTGATTGTATTATATAAAGTTTGTTGTTTTCTAAGACTATATGTAGTGTTTATTTGTAATATGGTAGCTGGGTATGTAATAATTTATGTGCAAGCTTTTCATATACTGTGTTTGTTATTGGTTATGTTGATAAACAGTCTGTTTGCGCTTTGCTATTATTCTTATACGTTTTTTTAAAAATTTATCTTATATTTTGTTACTTTACAGATGGAAGTAGATGAGAAAGAACTCCGTAGAGAAATTGCCTTTGCTATTCAAAATATATATGGTGTTAGGTGAATGTTATGAATTAAATTATAATTTTACAATATAATTAAATTAAAAAATGTTATAGTTTCTGTAATTATGAAATTTATTTATAGAGTAGGCTTGTTTACTCCAGACTTGGCCTTTGATGCAGTTGTTAAAAAACAAATTGCTAAATTAAAAGAACCATCTTTAAAATGTGTTGATTTAGTAGTGAATGAATTAGGAAATGTAATAAGAAAATGTACAATTAAGGTTTGATTTTATTTTGTTAAGATTATATACATTGAATATTTATGGTGATAGTTTTTTAAATTAAAATATATTAATTTAGATGAGTCGTTATCCACGTCTTCAAGATGAAATTGAAAGAATTGTAACTGTCCACATCAGACAAAGAGAAATGACTACAAAAGAGCAAATTCTTTTATTAATTGATGTTGAATTAGCTTATATGAATACTAATCATGAAGATTTTATTGGATTTGCCAGGTTAGATAAATGTTATTATTGTTAATAATAATTATATTTATTTAAACATTTTTTTTTAATGTTTAATAAATTAATATTTATAATTTATGATAGCTGCAAAAAAATGAACAATTTCTTAAATTGTTGTAAATTTATCAACTTCCACTGAATTATTTGTAATTATTTTAAATTAAGATATAACAAGATTACAAGAAAGATAATAAGCTATTTTAAAAACAATGTTTTAATGAAAAATTTAAAGTAAAAAAAATTAACTTGTTGAAATATTAATAGTTTTGGGACAAAAGTGTTTATTTAATAAAATAAAAAATTGTGTGTGTTATATAAATTGCTTAATATATATAATATGTTGTTCATAATTTTTCAGCAATTTTAGTAAATATTATGTTGTTTATTAAAATCTTTTAAAATCACAGGAATTTTTTTTTTTAAAACTTTAAACAAAAGTTTTTAAAAATTTATCTGATTTAAGAGATTTTTAATAAACAAAATTATATAATACATTTTAAAATTATTGATAAATACTTAATATTAGTTAGGATTTTTATTTCAAAGTATCTTAAAATTATTTCTAAGAGTTTTACATAGTTATTGTATATTGGCTTTTAATACCACTACACAATAACTATAAAATTTGCAAGATCCAAAATGTTAACAAGAAACAAATTTTACATCTGAGGTCATTAAAAAAAATCAAAAATTATTAAACTAGAAATGTCAGTACTAGACTTTTTGACTACAAAATCAAAAATATACAACAACAACAAATATAAAACTCAAATGTTACAATTTCAGTTCACTAATTATTACAATAAATTGATTATTAGTAAAAATCATAATTATTCCATTATTCCTAAATCTCAAACATTTAACCTAATTAGGGAAAATAGCTTAGCAGAAAAAAACCCTTAATCTACACAATTTAACAGCAGAATTGAAGACTAGCTTTCTGTGTTGCTATCTTCTATTGTACTATACATATGGATGTTTTAACCAATTGCTTAATTTTAAATCTTCTCACAGCTGGTTATATAGTAAAAAACCAAAAAACCTGTAAAATTAAATCAGCGAATATATTTAATATACTTTGACAGAGATCTGATGTACATTGGTTTGACCAAAAGGTCTGTTAAAAAATGACTGGCGGAGAATAAATACAATATACTGTACATAACAAAAAGCAGACCCCCGCCCTAGCAATATATTCTTTTGAAACTAGTGTGAAAGCTAAACTACAGCAGGCTAGCTTCATTAAATGCACCTTTCACACTGAGCGGATCAAAAATTTGGAGGCTCAATTTTTTTATGATCCTGACAACATTAATAACAAATAGAAATCAACTACTTCCATTGGGATTTGTTACAAATATATTCACTAAATTTTTATGTTAATTTTAATTTTTAGTGTTAATATTAACACATAGATGGGATTTTTGTATTTGTTCGAATATTTAATCATTCCAGTGATTTTAAAATTTAAAATTGCTCTTTAAGTATTCCAAGTTTTTGGTATATAATGTTTTGACTTGAAGTAGATCCCAATTAGGATCAAAAGCGTTTGTCAAAGTATATTAAAAATATATTTGCTGGTTTAATTTTAAAGGTTTGTTGGTGTTAGTTGGTTAGTTTGCTGTCATTTGACAATGTTATTTTATACATTACTGATTTACTGCTCAGGCTTACTAGAAATAAGATTTTACTTAATGTGCATTTCTACCAAAACCTGTCTATAAGAATTAATTCCAAATAATTTCCTATTTTTGGTCATACAATTTTTTCCTGAAAAATTATTGACAAGACTATGTCTTGTTTATAAAATCATACTGCCCAATGTTCTTACCAGCATAGAGGTATGAAGGAGCATATGTCGAGAGTTGATATTTGGCACAGAGTGTTAGGTGCCCAAATCATTTGCACATAAAATAATCCAGATTCGTAGGTAGTTGAGGGACCGAGAATTGAGTCAAAATAAAATACAAAATGGCAACCCTCTTCTACAAATAGGCAAAACAGCCACCTCACCCCACCGAAGTCGGGTAGGGGAAGTACCACCCACAGTCATTCTAAGAAGTGAACTCTGACCTTAGGACCGAACATGTAGTTTCTTCTATGTTAAATAAAATTTATAATCTAATTTTGTAAATTTGGGAGTGCTTCAAATATGACGTTAAAACGGTTTTATGTCGTTACAAGTGGATTTTTTTTTTAACATTATCAGTAAAATCGTAGGATCGATAAAAATTTGACATTATATTAGGATTGTCGTTACATTCGATGACGTTATAATCGGGTTAAGCTGTATATTGTTTGTGCAAAATAAAATTATTTTGGACGATACAATAGCCACGATTTTTTTTTTCAAAAACGGGAACTTTTCATTACGCATTGACAAAAATTCAACCCGGGCCGACACACAACGGAGAGAAATTTTGAAATTAGATAGGTTAATTTCATTGAAAATGGATGATCTCATGGACGTGGCTGGCAAAGTTTGAATGATTGCACCCAAAAGCAACGATATCAAAGAAGATAGGAGAATGAGGACGAGACCTACCTTGAGCATCAAAGTGATCAAAGTGATTTCATCTCCGAGACATAGTCTTGTCCCAAATATAGTTTTGCCGTTTTACTTGTTTAAGAAATGCATTAATTTTTTGCAAAAAAATAAATTTTTTTGTAGTTTTTGACTTACGTTTTCACTCTTATTATTATTATTATTGAAAGCACAACCATATTTTTTATACTTTAAAATATGTTTTGGCATTAATATTTTTTAATGAAAATGATTTAAAATTACAGTAAAATTATAAAAAATAAAGGAAAATAATGTTTATAAAATGATGATAAAACTTTTATTTAGCTGTTTAATTAAGACAATTCAGAAATTTTTTTAAGTGCAATTTGTTAATTTTCAAATTTTTCTTGCTGGGAATGAGTGAATATTTTGTGTTAATTTAAGCTGATATAAAATTTCATCTGTTATGGCTGATTGTAATCTCTTTGGTTATGTACTGTACAATACATGATTGGTGTTAAAAATTTAATTTAAAAAATAGTGATAACCATGCAAACAAATTTGTAGAAAATTAACAGATTTGATTTTCAAAATTCTGAACCATATATTAATCGAAGAACTAAATAAGATTATAACGCAAAAAATGTGTTTAGTTCTATCTACTCTTTTTTTTTTTCTTTTGAGGATTTTTAGAAAAGAATTACATTTTTACTGCCGTTTGCTTGAGATTGTGCTTAACCAAACAAATTACAACCAGCTTTAAATAATATTAAAAAAGAGTTATAAAATAAAAATGGATTTTTATTTTTGATTGTTTTTAAGTTGTGTTTCTGTTTATTCCTAAAAAAACAGAATCATGATTCTGTAAGAGACAAACTCATCTTTACTGCAAGTGCATAACCATGTAAATAGGTATTGATATAATGAGTAACTGAACTGATCATAAACAAATTAAACAACATTTCAATTTCACTTTTAAAACACAAGATCTCCACATTTTATTAAATTTCCCCAATTAAGGTCTCTAGACTTAGCTGAGCACTATTCTATTTTATTATAACATTTTGCAGCTATTACCATAATGGTATGTTCTCTACTGCAAATTTTTCCCAGATTACTTTACTTTAATACTCCACAAACCTTATTTGCACAATCAAGCATAGTCTGCGCACCTGTAACTATCATGTACTTTATTATTATGCTACATTAAAGTATCACTACTCAAAGTTCTGATTTTATATAAATAAACAAATGATATCCAAGGTATAACTTCATTATATTAATTATAGATACAAGTTGAAATCTTGAATTTCATAAAAAGAACTTAGAAAAACTTCATATTAGAAAAAATTTTAATTTGATTTGTAAATATTTTGTTTTATTGCTAGCTTAGTCAGTTCATTACATTATTTTTTCTTTCTTTTTCTATTGGTATAAAGTCATATTTTATAACTGATTTTAAATTTATTCTGATACAAAAACAAATTACAAATTCATCTTCATTTGTATTAAATTATTAAAACAAGTTTTGTTACTAAAAAAGTAGTGCTCAATGTTTAAAAAAAATGTTACATATAAAAATATTTCTTGTTTTAAATATATTAATAGCTATATTTATGATCTCATTTTACAATTTTTAATCCACTGTTCTCCAGAATTATATTTCAGTCATGTAGCTACTTTATGAGGTGAGAACCAGAGGGAGCAAAAGAATTTAAGTTGAAGTTTTGCCATCTTTTGCAACTAGAACCAAATTTTTATGCCAAAAATCTTGCTTCTGGTCCCCTACTGCTCATAACATGACAAAACTATATTAACAGAAAGATGATTAGATTAAAGTAAAAAACAAAATGAAATACAACTCTCTGGTTCTCATCTCACAATATGTACAAGAAATATATAAACAGAAAAATGTATCTTATATTATCAAAAACTTAGTTATGGTTTTTTGGATTTACATGACACATCTGACACATTGTTACACAAGTTCAAATGATCTTCACTAAGATCAAATAATTTTATTCAATATTCTGAAAATGTTCCTAAAATAACTATAAATGGTATATACACCCCCCTATAACACTGTTGATAATTCCGTGTTATATGAATTCCATGTTGTACGAGTCACTTAGATTTTACAAATACGTGTGCCAGGCTGTGAACAGCTCACATATTTGTAAAATCTAAGTGACTCGTACAACATGGAATTCATATAACACGGAATTATCAACAGTGTTATAGGGGGGTCGACTGTATTTTAATTATACTNAATTAAATAATTTATTTATTTCTAACAAATTATCTTTATTGTTTCTAACAAATAACTTCAGATGTAATAAATTTATTTTTTGCAAGTTTAATATTGTTGAATTCACTTGTTTTGTACAGTTATTTAATTTATACAAAAACTCTCATCTCTATATAGTTTTGTAATTCAAATGTATTGGATCTACCAGAAAGTTCTGTCTGTTTTTGAATTAAAAGA